ACCGATACCGTACCAAGTATACTTGGTACTAATATATTTGGCTACCAACAAGTTTGGTTGGTACAAATTGATAATGGTATATACCGACTTCTTTTTATAGTCTGTTGTAAGATTTTAAAATAAACAAATACATCGGGTAATTTAGACGTTTAGTAAAGAAGTTATGCAGTTCTTTTAATTTACAAAAGACTCTATTGAAAGTAACGTTAAAGTAATGTTTTAATTTTGTTCTTTAACATTGTAATGACTATTGACTAATGCGACCAAATAACTTATATATCGTTTTTTTAAAATGTAAACACTAAACATAATTAACAATTGAAAATTTACGATTTCGTTTATATATATATGAATTGGTTGGTACGGTATTACCATGGTATTCAAAATTTTGTACCATTACCGTACCAATATTGTTCAATTGGTACGGTACTACCAACCAAACATGTTGGCTACCAAATATGTTGGCTACCAACTTTCTTGATTCGGTTGGTAGCATGTTGGTTGGTTTTCCGTGGTACAATTTTGACAGTCCTATTTTATACTATATTTTTGGTGTGTCAAATATAATAATAAAATAAAAAATTCAAAAAATAAACTGATATGTGAAACATAGCTCAAAAAACAATATATAAAAAAACCACAAGGTTACAACTTTATTATTAAAGTCCTTTAATTTTATTTGTTTTAATATCAAATCCACTCTAATTGTATAATTATTCAATATATGCAATGTTACAAGCCAAGTTATAGCAATTACTTATTTTTATCAAAACAAAATGAATTTCAAAACTTAATCGTTACAAAAAGAAATCTAGAAAATTATAGTAATATAGGTTCTATGTACTTTGTAATTATAAAATTATGACATAGTTTATTGTCATTATTTACAATTAACCTATTTTTATATTATATTTATAATGATAAAATTAGGAAACCTTATTTCCAAAAAGTCACTGTGTTACTAGCAATTAACCCTTCAGGTTAAGCTTAATTGATTTTGAATTTTTGATCATCTATATTTTCTCTGGTTTGTTCCAATTCATGGAATCGAATTCGATCAAAAGTTAAAAAACATTTAATGTGGTGGATCCAAAAGTTTAAATTCTGTCGCTACAAATCCACCACAAGATGATCAAACTCATCTCTGCGCAGACCAACTGCAGAAATGGCGCTCACTGCTTCAACCCGACCTCTGTTTAACGACTTCAACCTACCTTCACATTCGAAGAACCGAGACCCTGCGATTCTTCGATCTCACAGAACCCATTTTTCAAACCCTAGTTATCTGCTGAGTTTTCCGCAAATTAGCAGCTCATTTTCACAAATCAACACTCAATCCAGATGCCCGTTGTTCAAAAGCATGCCTTTAGTTCCATCTAGAAAGCTTAATTCGAAGGTGTTTGAACTACAACCCACATTCTCTTCCGAATTTGATTCTCATCTCTTTAATTTGGATGACTGATTTTTGGTTTTCGTTCTTTTTTGACATTAAACTAGGTTAGAGCTTCAGCAGCTGGAGAAGAAGCATATCAAGAGGATTTCTCTTGGTCTTCTGTAATCTTGCCGTATGTTAGCTTCTTTTAATTATCCAATATCATATAATCATTTTAAGTTTAGGCGTTTAAACTTAACATAGGTAGGTAATTTTACAGTTATCTAATGATCATTTCTTCATGGAAACTCCTTACCTGTATGAATTTTTGCAAAACTCTCTAAATTGATTAACTTGTCCCAACTTTTGTCATGGGACTTTTCACTTTTCGACTTCAAATTATGATTTTTCTCGTTTATATCTTTAAAACTATCTTTTTGGGTCATCTGGATTCTGGAACCATATATAGAAAGGGAAATCTTAATCTACATAAAGAGAACGACTTTATGGAGAAAGACATGGAAATGATGCTTTCCCATAAAATCCCGAGTCTTTACAAATCCACCCTCATTTATTTTCTCTTGCAACTTTTGGTGCTAAAATTTTCAGGTTTGTATTCCCAGCCTTGGGTGGTTTACTATTTTGGATATGACATTGGTGCAACCTCTGGTGCTACCCTCTCTTTACAGGTATCAATCTCATCATCTACATACCACTTTTTTGTAGTTCTTCAACAAGAAAATTCAATAGAATACTCCACATATTAATTATTTCAAAATCGCCACAATTAAATTTAATACTTATCTTAATTGTTCTACAGTCAGCCGAGCTTAGTGGCACAACATGGTTCAATCTATCTGCTGTTCAACTTGGCCTTGTGGTGAGTAGCTATCTATGATTGTTTTACTTTTATTTATTTATTAGCTATACTTTGGTTACTTAATCTATAATAAGTTGTAACTGAATGCAGGTCTCTGGGTCCCTATATGGAGCTCTTTTTGGTTCTATTCTAGTCTACCCAATTGCAGATTTCCTAGGTATTTGTCTTCTCTAGTAATAAACTATCACCCTCACAATTTGACATGAATAATGTTAATGAATTGATTATGAAACATTAGCTATTGATTTATGAAGGTAGGAAGCGTGAACTTGTATTAGCAGCTTTACTATATTTGGTTGGTGGTTCAGTCACAGCATATGCACCAGGTCTTGGTGTTCTTTTACTAGGTCGAGTTCTCTATGGTTTAGGCATTGGTTTGGTAAGTAGTTAGCTTCCTTTGATCCAAATCCTCCTTAAAAAAAATCAAACATTTTCTCTTTGTTTTGGTTTTTCAGGCTATGCATGGTGCTCCACTTTATATTGCAGAGACTTGCCCTTCTCAAATCCGTGGGACTTTAATATCTCTAAAAGAACTCTTCATAGTTCTTGGAATCTTGGTATTTAAAACTCCACTCCATCACTTGTTTTTGTTTCACATGTAACCAAATTTGAAAGGGTGAAATTGGTGTATATACTATGTACAGTTGGGATACTTTGTAGGAAGCTTTCAGATAGATGCTATTGGAGGTTGGAGATATATGTTTGGGTTTAGTGCTCCAATTGCTCTTTTAATGGGGTTAGGTGTGTGGGGTCTACCTCAGTCCCCAAGATGGTTGCTTTTAAGAGCTGTTCAAGGTAAGGCATCTTTGCAAGAGTATAAAGAGCAGGCGATTGTTGCATTAAGCAAACTTAGGGGGAGGCCTTCTGGTGATAAAGTTTCTGAAAAGCAAATAGAGGACACACTTGTTACTTTGAAATCTGCTTATGGTAGTGATGAGGAATCAGAAGGGAGTATATTTGAGGTTTTTCAAGGCACGAGCTTGAAAGCTTTTGTGATTGGTGGAGGTTTGGTCCTTTTTCAACAAGTAATACTTCAAACTTCTCTTGTTTTCCATTCATAAATTATATATCTTTTTATTTCATAAATCATATGATTCTTGCTTTAAGTTTACCAACTATCATCTCATTGTAACAGATAACTGGGCAACCAAGTGTTTTATACTATGCTGGTCAAATTCTTCAGGTATTTGATACAGAACTTTTCTCTCCTTTTCTCTATAAATAGATGTATATGCATGTGTACATATATACACACACATGTGTATATGTGTGTGTGTGTGTGTATGCTTATTGTTGTGGTTGCTTGTTTGTGAATTGTGGACTAAAAGACAGCTGGATTCTCTGCGGCTGCTGATGCTACACGTGTTTCAGTCATTATCGGTGTCTTTTAAGGTATGTAAACATCTAATACTGGCTTTTCATTACAAACAAAAAGGCAAAAAAAAAAGTATTTTTTGCAAGATTGAGTTCTTTTGGAGCAAAAGAAACAATTATTATTATTATTATAAATTTGCTTTTTGTTGGCAAGTATGGTGCTATTTCTTTTGGCTGTTTCATGTAAACAGTTGTTAATTTCATTAAAATCTAGGATTATGGTTTTAAAAGTTATTCATCCGTTTTCTAAGTGTATATAACTTATGTTTGTGCAGCTGTTGATGACAAGTATAGCGATTCTGAAGGTTGATGATCTTGGGAGAAAACCTTTGCTGATTGGAGGAATTAGTGGAATTGTATGCATCTCTATTTCTTTCCTTTTTTAGACTTAGGCCCTGTTTCTTTTTTCCCACATGGGTGGATAAATGATGTTTAAGAAAAAGTTAGGACTTAATGGGGAAAGCTCATTAAGTAAAAAAACTGAAGACCCTAATGATACATTTGTGCTTTACTTTTTTCTTTTACAGACCCTTTCATTATTTCTCCTCTCGGCTTATTACAAATTCCTTGGAGGGTTCCCCTTAGTTGCTGTAGGTGCTCTACTTCTTTATGTTGGATGCTACCAGGTAACCCTTTTCTTAGATTATTTTTTTAATCTGCAAAATGTGCTTTATTTATGTTTTGAGTTAATTTAACTTGGAATTTGGGATTTTTCAGATATCTTTTGGACCAATAAGCTGGCTTATGGTATCAGAGATATTCCCTCTTCGAACACGAGGGAAAGGAATTAGTCTTGCAGTTCTTACAAACTTTGGTTCAAATGCCTTAGTAACCTTCGCTTTCTCTCCATTGAAGGTTATTATTACCTACTCAAAAGTCAACATTTCCAAAGTCAACCCCTCATATCATATATCTTAATCTTTTTTGTAAATTGTACAGGAGCTACTTGGGGCAGAAAATCTTTTTCTCCTTTTTGGTGCAATTGCTTTGTTATCACTTGGATTCGTGCTACTCTATGTCCCCGAAACAAAAGGGTTGACTTTGGAAGAAATCGAAAATAAAATCTTGAAATGAGATTTTGATCCATGTATAACGGTTTTCTTGTTGCTTTCTGCATGTTGTACATTATTCGTGTATGTGTAAATTGTAATGCTACTGATGCGTTTTACCTTTCATAAAGCAGTGCCTTTTTCTTGAGCCAAAGATCTATGTACAACTTTTATTGCACAAGTTACATGTCGTGATCACTGTAAATAATCCAATATATGACAAAAACAGACCTATATACCATAAAAAAGATTGCTATTTTGGGGGAATACGGTTGCTGCAGGACCTAGTCAACATCCATTGATTTGCTATAATAATTATCCTGTAATGTTCACACAAGTCCCTGAAATTGTGGCATGAAAATCGAAAAAATTATTTGTCGTTAAATTTGGTGTTTGCGTTAACGTAGAAACAAAGAGCCATGCTTTTGTGAAAGGAGAAGCAATGGCTCAACCAGACAATGTGCGAAGAACAACGACCATCGATGCTGTGAATGCTCCAAGACCCCTAAACTCGCCAGGCTCCAAGAGTGGTGGGTAAATTCGTAATTTTGGTCATTTCTGAAATCTGAATCTTGGAAGGAATGAGAAATTTTAAATTTATTTGTTTTGAATTTTGATTCGTACGTAGGTGATTCCTCAAGTTGGTCGTCTAATTCTTCATTAAAGCTAAGAAAGAGCCATGATAACGACGACCCTGGAAGTGGAAACCACCATAAGAAATCAGTGTTGTCAAAGGTGAAAGAGAAGGCCAGAAAATTAAAGAAAACTTTAAGCGGGAGAAAACGTCGAGATGATAATGAGTTGCGAAGCCCTAATTTCTCCACTCCTCCAGGATCCGCTGGTCCTGTCAAGGATGATAAACAACGCCCCCAATTTTTTAGTTCCCCAACGCCATGTAATTAAATCACATATTATTCTCTATAATTTATATACCAATCATGTTATGTCATGAAAAGATTATACTGATTTTAACAATTAAAATGTGTATTTTCAGTGTCTGGATCTTCGGTTTCAGAAGACACGAAGACAAATTCATCAAAAGAGCAGCCTCAAGAAACTAAAAAAGGGTCTTCCGAGACAAATACACCATCCAAGAACGAGCCGTCACCACCACAGACTGCTAACGGTTCACCGGAAACCACCGCAACTCGTGATGGTGACGATCCCAAAACTAGCTCTGAAGCGAAAGAGAACAATGAAAGCAGCATGGAACCACAGGACAAGGACAAAGGTGTTTCGGTGACGGAATACTTGATGAACAAGCTAGAACCAGGAGAAGACGAGAGAGCTCTTTCTCAAGTGATCACACAGACAATAAGTCCCAAATGTGAAAAGATGAAAGAAGCTGTGAATTCATTGCTTAGGACCGAAGAATCACCGGTAAGTAACAACAAGGCTTCAAACACGGAACCCGATACTACAAATGTTGTTGATTCCGATTCAAATCAAGATAGCGGGGCTCGTTCTTCAGTCGAATCTGTTGATAATACAAAGTTGACTTCATTGACTGGTTATGATCATGATCCCAGTGATGGCCCTGAATCGCGTCTTTCTAATGTGTCAGCGACATCAGCGTCTGCTTCCTGCCAAAACCAAAATGTGAAACAATCGTCGTAGGCAAAAAAGGGTTGAATGAATGTATAGGAGTCTTGCAGCATCCAGAATTTTGAGGTCTTTATAGTTGCTTTCTTCTTCCTTTCGTTGTACTTTATCGGTTCTCGTTTGTTATCGTTGAATTAGAACTTATTTTTGTATATTTTGCTATACATGTAAATGAAAGCTATTGCAACTAATCGGATGTTATATCTTTGTATGCGAAATCGATTGTCATTGTTAAATATGTGGAGTTTTTGGTTGTTTCTTTAAAAGACCTAAAGATGAGTATCCAACATATATTCAGGTGGATGAGACTTTGTCTGCTTAAGATGAGACTCTATTAGTACCGTTGATGCAATTATGTGGATCCATGCGGGATATCTTATTTTAAATGCTAGGGAAACAATACTGTTTGACCTCAAAACTCAAGGATTCTAAAAGATGAAATGATAATATTGGATCAACGATCACTTGGTTATGATGCGATGGTATTGTGTTCTTACAACTACATATTTCGTACACAAATCGACATTTAGCTTTTGCAACAATCTTCACTCTCTTTTGATCTTTTATTCTAACACATGGCAAGTTTCACATTGAAGTATTATGAAGTAGGAACGACAACATAACTGTTTAATGGTATTCTGTCCTTAAAAGATGGAATTAGGTGTTAGAAGACAAGAATTTGATGGATACTTAAAGATATCTTAGACTTACATGACACATGTTTAATTAAGCGGATAAAAATAAAAGCATAAAATATGAAAAATTATTGACATCTGATAGAAATCATGTTGAAATTAATTGTAATGAAGGTTCATGTCCTTGGTGAACAACCAACAACGAAAAAAATAACTGAATTTAAATTCGTCACAAAGTTAAAGACATACAAAACACAAAATTTATCATGGTTCCACAATTAGTGTGATGATGGTTTTCTTAATTGTAGAAGAAAAATTGTGATTACAAAACGTACTAAATAAACGTGGAAGCGAGATTTGGCAAAACTAGCTCCTAAATAATTGCTATATAAACTCTTGAATTCGAGCTCGCTAAATTAAGGGTAAGCAACGAGTCCAAACTGGCCCCAATGAAGCCCAAATACGAGAACCCATAACCGGACAGGTAAGATTACATTGGTGTCGGTGCCGGTTTTCAGTCAAATATCCGGTTGGAATAGTTACATGTTCTTATACAATTTATACAGGTAGATAATGCTCCATGTGTTAAATGAACTAGTCAAAAATAAATCAACCAACAAAAAAATAACCTTAAAATATTCGTAAAGAAGAGGACAAATTCAACACAATGTTGAAACAACATAAATTTAGCTTTGATTTCGTGTAAGACTTGGCCTATCTCAATCAACATGTAATCAAAATAAGGTGTTTTTATATTCTAAAATGATATACAAACAATAAACTATACGCTGGGAAAAAAAACATCATGTCATATCCATTTCATAGGAATGAGTTATAACAATTTTAAAAAAAAGGACAGATTGTACAAAATGCTAAAACATAAAACAATTAAACTTTATACCCCATGTTTTGGGGTCTTTAACTCAATATGTAACAAAATAAGGCGTTTTTATAGTCAAAATGAAATAAAAATAGTAAACTAAATGTTGGAAACATCATGTCATTCAAACTTCAAAGCAATAGGTTATAACAGTTTAAAAAATAGTACAAATTTATGTCTCCCTACCTTCCAGATTTGTCTCGGTTCTTTACCCGAAATCAGTGGCATCGGACCGGTTAAAACCTGGAATCGAAAATGGTCAATGTTGAGAACCAATACCCGGCCTGCTATATGATAATTGGAACAAGTTCGGTTCGGTCCAACCTGACCAATTGCTCATCCCTAGCTATAACTGTTTCTCATATGCATTAAATAATATGTCTAACTATATTTGAACGCAAAAAAACCTTGTAAATGTTTCCTAAAATCATGTCAACTATATTTTCATCTAAAGTGTATATTCATCAAATAAATTCTCCTGAGCATTCTATTCAAAAACATTATAATTGTTATAATACCATTATTTTTGAAAACCATATATAAAATATTAGTTATTGTTATCATAAAAAATAAATAAGAGGTTTCTAGGTCAACGTAATCCTACCTAAACCCTTTGACCGATGGTAATTTTTTTTTCCAGTCCAGCCATTGTCATTTTTTAAGTTTTGACTAAATGTGATTAAGAATGTGGGATTGTTTATACATGTGTATATTGTTTTTGTAACCCATAAATAAAATATATAATGACGAAAATAAGTACTTTTTGAATAGTTTTGTGGTTTAAAATTTATTTTAGACATAGCACAGGGGGCAAACATGTGCTTTTCAAATTCCATTACAAATAAATCGTAAATCTCGTCCGATTCAAGGGAGAAGTCTGTACTCACCAACTCACCCATAAACCCCTTCTCTCTCACTCTTATCTCCAATGGCATCCTTCGCCGCCGGCGCGGGGCAATTTCTCAGCCTCCATCAAACTCGCACCCGTCCAAAACTGCACTGTACTCCGTCCTCTGCCTCTGTTACCACCAACACTATCAGATGCCAACAAATTTCGTCTCAAAACCCTAACAAACCCTTAAAAACCCGGCCATCAAAAACCCCCGTGCTTTCCGTTAAGAATCTAGCCATCTCCGCCGCGGCTGGGGTTTTATTTCACGTAGCGTTCAAGAGTTCTTCCCTCTTCGGTTTCGGCGGTGGAGGAGGTGGCGGTGGAGCCAGTGGAGGCGGCGGAGGTGGTGGAGGTGGAGGTGGAGGTGGGTTTTGGAAGAGGCTGCTGTCTCCTGTTGCTAATGCAGATGAAAATCAATCTCCAGAATGGGATGTTCATGGTTTACCGGCTGATATCATTGTTCCATTGAACAAACTCAGTGGATTTAAAAAGTACAAGTTATCTGCGATCGAGTTTCTTGACAGAGTCAAATCTGCAGTTGTAGGTTCAGAGGATTCGTTTTTTGAAATGGTTTCTCTTAGGGCTGGTGGCGTTTACACCAAACCTCAGCTTCAGAAGGAGCTTGAAACCCTAGCTACTTGTGGTATGTTTGAAAAAGTAGATTTAGAAGCGAAGACCAACCCCGATGGAACCATTGGTTTGACCGTATCATTTACGGAATCCACTTGGGAAGAGGCTGAGTACTTCAAGTGTATCAATGTGGGGTTAATGGCGCAATCAAAAGCTGTTGAAGCAGAAGAGAACATGACTGAGAAAGAGAAGGTTGATTATATGCGGAACCAAGAAAGGGATTATCGGCGAAGAATGGAGAGGGCAAGGCCATGTATGTTGCCATCTACAGTCCATAGAGAAATCGTGAAGATATTGGGGCAAGGGAATGTGAGTGCTCGGATGTTGCAAAACATTCGTGATAGGGTTCAGAAATGGTATCACGATGAAGGGTATGCTTGTGCTCAGGTTGTGAATTTTGGGAATTTGAACACGAATGAAGTTGTTTGTGAGGTGGTTGAGGGTGATATTACAAGGGTTGTGATTCAATTCCAAGATAAACTTGGAAATGTATGTGAAGGGAACACTCAAACCGGAGTAGTGAGGAGAGAACTACCTAAGCAGGTAACTCTAACCATCGATTTTGTCCACTATATGTTTGTATATCATGATCTTTTCATTCATTTATCAGTTCTGGATGTGGTAGTAAACATTTCTAATGTCATTTACAGCTTCAAAAGGGGAATGTTTTCAACATTGAAGCCGGCAAACAAGCATTGAGGAATATTAATTCCTTATCTTTGTTTTCAAATATCGAAGTCAATCCACGACCTGATGAGAAGAACGAGGGAGGGATTATTGTTGAGATTAAGCTTAAAGAACTTGAACAAAAATCAGCTGAAGTCAGTACTGAATGGAGTATTGTTCCTGGACGTGGAGGTCGCCCTACTTTGGTATATTAAATTCTATTACTTTATCATTCAATTTTGTGTTTTCAAACTACTATATCAAATACCCTTTTTGCTATGCATTGTTTTAGGCTTCAATCCAGCCTGGTGGAACTGTTTCTTTTGAACATCGGAACATCAAGGGGCTTAATAGATCCATTCTTGGCTCTGTTACCACAAGTAACTTTCTTAATCCTCAGGTGATTTCTCCTTGCTTGTAAAGTCTTGTTAATGATCTCAACATTTTGTCAAGAACATTGGTAAACATATGGATTTTGTTTGCAGGATGATCTTGCTTTCAAGCTGGAATACGTGCATCCTTACTTAGATGGAGTAACTAATTCCCGAAACCGTACGTTGCGTACAAGCTGCTTCAACAGCAGAAAGCTGAGTCCAGTGTTCACAGGTGGGCCAGGAGTAGATGAGGTTCCTCCTATATGGGTTGACCGAACTGGTGTTAAAACCAATATCACTGAGGTAAATGTAAATCATATATATATACATTGTTATGTTACATTTTGAATTATGTGGTCGTTGTTATGATACATTTGTTGTTTTGACCAGAATTTCACTCGACAAAGCAAGTTTACATATGGAATTGTAATGGAAGAGATAACAACACGTGATGAAAGCAGTCATATTTCTTCAAATGGGCAGAGGGTTTTGCCGAGTGGTGGTATTAGTGCAGATGGGCCTCCAACAACACTGAGTGGAACGGGTATTGACCGAATGGTATTTGCACAAGCAAATATCACAAGGGACAACACCAAGTTTGTAAATGGAGCAATTGTTGGGGAGAGGAATGTATTTCAGGTGAGTGTTGTCTTGGGTTATTGTAAGTGTGTGTGTGTGTGTGTGTTTGTTTAGTGTTTTTGAAATATTGGGATTTGGGAATTGTAGGTTGATCAAGGGCTGGGAATTGGAACTAAGTTCCCGATTTTCAATAGGCATCAGCTGACAATGACAAGATTCATCCAACTGATGAAAGTAGAAGAAGGTGCTGGGAAATCCCCACCACCAGTGCTTGTTCTTCATGGTCATTATGGGGGATGTGTAGGAGACCTTCCAAGTTATGATGCCTTCACTCTTGGAGGACCTTACTCTGTCAGGGGTTACAACATGGGAGAGATTGCTGCTGCTAGAAATATCCTTGAGGTTCCTTATCTTATCTTACATTTCATATTACTAGTTACTAGAAGAAATAAGAAATGGGAATTGATTTATAT